GAAGTTGGCATGCTCCGTGATCCCCACTGCTACTTTCAGACCTCCCCTCTGCCACCATCACTCAGCAACCAGTTCCCTTTGAAGTTCACTCCATCTGGCTCTTTGGGTGGGAGAGTCAAGGAGGGATGTATTTGGAAATGAAGGTCGACTTTCTAGGCCTCAGTTTTCTCATCTGTCAAATAAGGGTGTTGATTGGTTTTATTGAGCTGCTTTTTAATTCTTTGTCACAAGGGGTGGCTCCCTGGGTAGGAGAAGTGGAGGGACGTATTTGCAAAAGAAGGTGATTAAAACATGAAGGTATCAATAAAAAATATTTAAAAAAAATAAAATACGGGTGTTGGCCTGAAATTGATCTCATAGGTCCTTTCCAATGCTAAAATGCTATGATGAGAGCTTCCTTGAGGCTTTGTTTCTTTTACTTGCTGAGTAGGAATAACGCTCTCTGCCCTCTTTGCCTCTCAGGGCTTTGGGAATGATTCTGTGAGATAATGAATATGCACATGCTTTGGAAATGGGAAATTGTAAAGTTCGGTACATGTGCAAAATATTTTCACAACCGAGTTTCATTTGTCTACAGACTCTCTGGGCCCCTCCCCTGTGGCCACAGAGAACAGCTCTTGGCTAACCTTTTCTTCATCCCTCTCTGATTTTCAGCTGAGAACATCTGGTCCTCCCCTTACCCCCAGCCCTGTGGGTCAGGGACTGAGCCAGGTAAGAGGATTTTTCAACCATATAAAGTCATTACAGACAGAACAATGGAGATATGAGATCCTTGTCTAGTCTGTCAGCCAGCCCATGGCTGTGTGCAGAGCTCACTCATCACTCGGACCAAGAGGGGTGAGGTGAGGATTTCTTCTTTGTCCACATCTGTGATTTGGTCAGCGTGGGGAGCTCCCTGATGAGCAAACTCTCTTTAACCAATGTAGTTCAACAACTGTCCTATGATCTAGAGTTACAGAATTGGCTAGGGCCCTGAGAAGTTGGGTGCCTTGTCTAGAGTCTCATAGCCAGTACTTCAGTGCTTCAGAGGCAGCACTTAACACGCAGTTCATGCTGGCTGCAAGGCCTGGCTGTCTGCACGTTATGCTAGGGTGCTGCTTCTCTGAGGATTACTCTGTCATTGGGGACCTCCTAACCTTCCTGGGGCAGATGAGCCCCCCACAAACGAAAAGGACAGCAGAGTTGTTACCTAGCTAAGGTGTGCAGAGAAAAAAGGTGATAGGAGATGTCCTTTCAGTGGGAAGAACAATGGTCCAGGGGATTAAGGAAACCCCTGTTCTCATCCTAGGGCAAGTCACTTGTCTCTGGGCCGAAGTTCCTCCTCTGTCACATAGGGGTAACCTATGTTTTGCCTCCCTCGCAGTATAGTTTGTGAGGCTCCTTGAGCAGATGAGTAAATGGTTTGGAAACTGTTTTGAAAAATACACAAGATATTGTTTGTCTTAGGGCATTAGTCCTCCAATCTGACCTCACCAAGGCCCTGTTTGGTTACATTTGCCTTATACTGTCCTTACTGACACAAATGAGGGGAGCGGATCTGCTGGAGGCCACCTGTCTTCTCACCAGGACATGCTTCCCCTTATGCTAAAATGATTGAATTTTGCCTTTCTGTCCTGTTCCCCTGCCTGAATCCTATCTAGTTGTTCTCTGCCTGGAGACAGAACCTACTGGCTGGAGAGTCTTCCATTATGGAGTGGGAGGAATCAGCCTTGGGGGGTGTGAGGAAGAGAGATGGTCCTCTCTATAGCACTAGAAGAGCCAGGGCAAATGGCAATATCAGTCAGTCAATCAGTCAATCAACAAGCATCTGCAAAATGCCTGTTACGAGCCAGACCCTGCTCGATATTGGAGTGCTGACAAAACTTTGTAATAGCTGCAAAGACAAAGAAAGTAATAGTCCCTTCCCTCAAGCAGCCGATGTTCTACTGGGGAAACAGCATGTATGCATATAAGCATTTACAAACTACATAAAAGTAAATGCAAAGGTAACTTTATGGGAGAGGCACTAACAACATATACGTAGAGAAAGTCCATAATATACGAAGTCACCATCTGGTGCTGGGGGAAGTCCTTATGAAGGAGGTGGTACCTGAGACAAGCTATGGAGGGAGCTTGGGATCCTCGGGTGTAGGGGTTAGAAGAGAGAGCATTTTAGGAGCCATGGCTCTAAACCATACTCCCGAGGGGAGGGCAGGCAACAAATAACTGCCAAGAAGGGCTTTGGCTCAGTGAGAGGCAGCCTGGGTTACTAGAAAGCAGCACGGACTGGGAGTGAGAGGACTGGGCTTCATATCCTCCCTCTGCCACTTACTACCTAGGTGACTGTGATTGGGTCACTTAGCCTTCCTTGGCCTCAGTTTTCTCATCTGTCAAAGGGGTTGGAGTAGATGGCCTCTGAGGTCATTCTAGTTCTCAATGGACAAGCCGCTGTGTGATTTCATATCTTTGTGATCTGAGGCTTCATCAAATGAAAGTCTTCTGATGAACTTCCTTCTAGCTCTTCTATCCTAGTAGAGCATCCAGTTACCAAAGAGGGACCCCTTGGGTGCCGGTCTTTACTGAGTTTCTAGTTGGAACCAGCATCCTTATGATGTTAGCTAAGCCTCCTTGGCTCTGAGAGCTCCCAGGCAGAAGGTGTTCTAGGCTCAGGGAGACAGCTGTTTTCTGAGGCTACAGATGTTGCTCACATTTGTCAGATACCTCCCTTTGAGGTACCTGGGAATCCTTTTTTCACATATGCCCACAGGACATGAGGTCCTGGGAGGTGGGTGATTGGCTAAGGCCGCTGATGGTCTGTGGCTGGTATGTTGTAACCTTAGTACAGTCATGGGACCCAAATGGATGCTTGGATTCTTTTTTTTTCTTTTTTTGCTAGGCAATGGGATTAAGTGACTTGCCTAGGGTGTCAAATATCTGAGGCCGGATTTGAACTTAGGTTCTCCTGACTCCAGGGCTGGTGCTCTATCCACTGTGCCACCTAGCTGCCCCTGGATGCTTGGATTCTTGAACTTGATAAGTGAAGTTAGTTTCTTTTAGGGTTTTAGCAGTTTTTCCAGTCAATACCAAGGTGGTACATGCCAAATAATATTCAATCTTTTGTTTTAAGCTTCTTAATCTAGTTTCTCCAAGTAGATTGTAAGCTCGTGGGCAGCAAGGTTCATGAGGCGTACTCCTGGGAGGCAGCCAGCCTGGCTCTTAGGAGTCAGGACGCAGGAGTCCTCCACTCAGTTCTGTCCGTGATGAACCAAGTCCACTTGGGCAGTCTCTTGCCTCCTCTGGGGTTCGGTGCCCTCACCTGTAGAATAGGAGATCCTGGATTCAATGCCGGGCTCAGCCATGCCTCTCCCTAACTCCCTGTGTGGCCATTCCTCAGGAATGTTCTCCCTCCTCACCTCTGTTTTTAGAATCCCTGGCTGCCTTCAGGACTTGGCTGAAACACCACCTTCAGCAAGAGACATTTTCTGGTGCTGCCCCCAGCCCCTAGGGCCTTCCCTTCTAAGAGTACTGTCCATCTACTCCGCATCTGCCTTATGAATATCTCTTTATGAACGGGCTGTTTCCTTGTTACAAGATGAGTGTCTGGAGGGCAGGAATTGTTTTTTGCTTTTTCTTTGTATCCCCAGTGCCAGGCACAGTTCCTGGAATATAGTACGAGGTTATGAAATGCTTGTAGATTGATTGATTGCTTCCCCATTTGTAAAATAAGGGGGTTGAACTAGATTTGGGTGTTCTTTATTCTATGCAGTGCTGGGCACAGAGTAGGTGATCAAAGATATCTGGGTCCCAGGTTTTTCCCCACCTCCACCCCAGTTTTTTCATTCAATTTTTCCTATTAAAGCTCTTCCCTACAGAGCAGTATAGGGTAAAAGGCATTCACTAGACTTGGAGTCAGAAGACTTGAATTTTAGTGCTGGCTCTGATATTTATCAGCTGTGTGACCTAAGAGTGTGACCTGAGACTCAGTTTCCTTACTTACAAAATGGGGATGATGTAATACCTGCCTCAAAGGGTAATGGTGAGAAAAGTTCTGTGTAAATCTTAAAGGGTTACAAAAACACACTGATTTTTATTTATTATTTTCATACATTTGGAACTGGAAGGGACTTTAGGTCATCTGATTCCAACCTCTTATTTTACAGGGGAGAAACCTAAGACTTGACCTTGCCCAAGATCACACAAGAGAACGAGAGAGCTAAGATTCGAACTCAGCTCCTCTCACTTAAAAATGAGTGCACGCTCCCCGAGGGCCTGTACCAAAGAAGTCCGCTTGGAAAGAATGAGCCCCGTATTCATTAGTTGAGGTGATCCCCTTGCTGGCCAGGCCTTGGAAAGTTGGGCCCAGCTCCCACATTCCTGTCTCTGTACCCAGCAAGCTCCTCCCTCCCCTGCCTCAGCAGAGAATGGATATGAGGATGTGAGAGAGTGGGGAATAGGAACTCAAGTTCCTCTCTCATGTACACTCACACTCCCCCATACCCTCCCAGGACACATAGAGATCTCATGCTTATGTTTCAAAGTCCCTTCTTTACAGCAAGCCATCTCTAGGGAAAACTAGGGAACAGAATCACAAGATCATGGGATTTTGAGCAAGATGAGACTTAGAGCAGGAAACTGAGGTCCACAGAGATTAAGTGATTTGCCAAATGTCACACAGCTAGTTAGTGGCAGAGCCAAGATTCAAACCCATAGCCTCTAAATTCCATATCCTGTGCTTTTACCACATTGGTCCCCAGAGAGTGAAATGACTTGCTCTGGAATTGACCAAGAAGTATCGAGACCAAGACATGTAGAATCTGCTGCCTAATGTGGGTACTAGGGTGGAAAGAACACTGGATCTAAAGTCAGAAGATCTGGGTCCAAATCTCAGTTTTGCCACTTACTACCTATGTGACTTTGGATTTACCTTCTCTGGACCTCAGTTTCCTAATCTGTAAATGAGGGGGTTGGGCCAGATCAATTCTAAGGTCCTTAACAATTGTAAATCTATTTATTCCTTCCAGGTCTTCTGCCTACAAGACTACCTAAAGAAAGTCTGGATCAGAAGGTAATAATAATCATACCTCACCTTTATGTGGATTTCTAACAGACCTTTATGTCCATTATTAAATTCAACAAGCATTATTAAGCACCTGCTGTGCTGGAAGAGAGACCAAGTCTAGCCAAGTCCCTACCCTTTGGGAGCTCGAAGTCTAGTAAGAGCCATGTCTCTTGGCCCCTAGGACTGCCCCCTCCTGCAGGAAAAGAATTTTTTAAAAAGATTATCAGTAGCTTTTGTTTTTATAGCACCAACATTTCACAGTGAATCCCCTTCCCCTCCCAGAGAGAGTCAGTCCTTATAACAAAAAAAAAAAAATAGTAAAGGGGATGAGGGGAACCCAGTCTGTGAAAGTATCTTGAAAAAGTATAACAGGTCACAAAAATGCCTAATGACATCATTATTCCCAGGTGATCTTTATTGTTTTAGGCGAGTTGAGATGGGGAGGGGGGAAGGGTGCCTCAAGGAGGACGTAAATCTTTAACTGGGATTAGGAGGCAAGACAGAATTCAAGCTCAGTCAGCCCTTTCCACCCGGCTTTTTCTCTGCTTCTCTCCTTTCAGTGGATGGACATTCTTGGCTCATTAATAGGCCTTTCTCCTAGGGGCCTCTGCTGTGCCCCTTTTATCAATGTGGATTCTTTTGCTGTGTGGGTGAATAGCCAGTGACCTCTTTGTGCTTTATTGGAAGGAGGTTGGGAGGTGGTGGGGAGGGTGGTGATCCCATTTCTTTTTGCTGTCATAGCTTCCCTCTGGCTTATGTGCAGATGTTGCAATGTTAACTCTTTCCTTCCCTCTCCAGCCAATTGACTATTCATGTTGCCTTTTGAAGAGAGGGAAACTGAATTAATCTCAGTCTGACGTGGTGCACAACCCCTCAGGATGGGTCCCCTAAGGGAGTGTATATCTCTGGTTTTAGAGTTGTGGCTATAAATTAATTGTGCAGTAAGGAAGATAGGCATTACCATTCATTCACTGGGTAGCTTAGAGCAAATCACTTTTCTCTGGGCCAGTTTCCCACCTCTAATGAGAGATTTGGACTAGATGGTCTCAACATCCTGTATTCTTTGTTCTATCTGGTGTAAATCAGGCTGTTCCTGGGAAGGGCTAGGTTGATCATTCCTGACTTGGTACAGTAATAGTGAGATGACCTCAAGCAAACAGATGTAAGACATCATGGTGCCTTGACATGGGCATTGAATTGAGACACAGGAGATCTAGGTTCCATTTCCCATTCTGGCACTGTTTGCTCTTAAGCCAGAACAAATCCGGATACTTGTCAGGACCTCATTGTCTGCCACCCAGCCGAGCTTAGAGTTATCTTAAGGATCACATCAGACAATCACTTCAAAAGGAATAAATTGCTTTCTATAGAAAGATACCTTACACACTAAAAATGTTTGGTGAATTTGTTTTGTTAAATTGATCAGCTAGTCTTCATTAAACAAAGCTCCCCCAAACCATTAACACAAATCAGAATCAGTCCTGTCTTCTGCTACCTAATGTGGGTGAAAATGTCAGGCATCAAGAAAGCCCAAATGGGTATGGATTTAGGAACCATTGACCAGTAAAGAATATATCATATCATAAGTGGAAGGAACCTCAGAACACAGAACATAGAATGTCACAGCTGGATGGGACCTAAGCACATATGGGTTTCCTTCCAACTCAGATGTTCTACTTTCTAACTCATATGTTACATAGCTAATGAGTGCTTGGGGTGGGATTTGAACTCAGATCTTCCTGGCTCCAGGTCCAGTGCCCTTATCTTCCCTTGTGTCATCTCTCTTTCCCTTATACTAGTCTAGTGCTTTATAGTTTATAGTTTTCCCATTGACCCAAAACAACCCCATTGTCGTTTTTTCAGCTACTAGAAATCTCTTAAAGCCCTTGTTAATCAAACTATCACATATGGACTTATTTTCCTATTTTTCTCCTGTCAGCTTCCCTCAGTGCCTTACCCTGGTTTAGAAGTGACCCTGATCACTCTTTTAAAAAAAAAAAGCAGACATTTATATTGTGTTTTGCATATATCATTTCACTTGATCTTCACAGAAACCCTATGTGATGGGTTCCATTATTATCTCTATTTTGCAAATGAAGAAACTGAGAGTCAGAAAAGCTAAATGACTTGCCCAGGGACTCACAACTAGTGAGTATCGAGGTAGGGTCTGAACCCAAGTCTGATGCTTGTATTTTCTGATAGAGTCTCATGTTACTTCTCTTGACCTTAGAACTCTTGCAAGCTATGCCAATGAAGTCTAAGCTCTGGCAAGTTTTGCCAAGACAGAAAGCCTTCCTGTGTGGCTCGGTGACAGACCATCCTCGTGTTTCTGGTTATGACCAGTCTAAGGATGGTCATCATCAGGTTGAACAAGTGATGGGTTTTTTGTTTTTTGTCAACAGAAACTCATGAAGCAATGAGTTGCTAAGGTAAGACAGGGAGTGTTTTCCCTGACAAAATCAGAGATCCCTGATAGTATCATAGTATCCCATACTAGTATCAGGCTCCAAAGGACCTTAGAGATCATGCCATCCAGTGCCTTCATTTTATGGATGAAGAACCTAAGGCCCAGATGGGTCTGAGTGATTTGTTCAAGGTCCCACACTTAGTGAGTAGCAATACCCTCTGGAGCTCTGTGCATTCCTTCACACAACATACTGTTCAGCTCAGTTCAGACATTTATTAAGCACCGACATCCTTGCAGCACATTGACATACATCAAGGAAGCTAGGGGGAGCACTGGATAGAGTACCAGGCCTGGAGTCAAGGAAGTCTCACTTTCCTGAGTTCAAATCTGGCCTCAGACACTTACTAACTGTGTGACCTTGGGCAAATCATTTAACCCTGGTTGCCTTAGTTTCTTCATCTGTAAAATGGGCTGGAGAAGGAAATGGCAAACCACTCCAGTATCTCTGCCAAGAAAACCCCAAATGGAGTCACAAAAAGTCAGACACAATCGAAATGACTGAGCAGCAACAGGCCTTGTGCTAGGTGCTGGGAATATGAAGCTGGAAGTGAAACAGTTCCTGCCTTCAAGGACCTTCTAGTCAGTTGCTGGTAGTGTTGGTGTTGGGGGACTATAATACAGCCAGGTTGATAATTGAAAACTTATAAAAGGTAATTCAGGAGGAAGAGTGTGTTAACAATTGGGGGGAAGGAGCTTCTGGAAGGTTCCCATGTGGGAAGAGGCAGGTGGGCTATACTTTGAAGGAAATTAGGAATTCCATTAAGCAGAGCTGAGGAGGAAGTTCATTCCAGACTTGGGGGACCACTTGTACAAAGGCATTAAAGTCAAAGATTTCATTTACTTAATCCCATAGGTAACAGGTCAGTTTGATCGGAGTCAGGAGTATAGTAAAATGCCTGTTAAATTGAAATAAGACTGCTCTTGTTTCCTGTGTGAGAGTCTTAGTTCCCCAGTTAGGCCCTGAGGTCCCTAAGGATAAGGTCTGTCCCTTCCCTTCCCTTCCTTCCCTTCCTTCCCTTCCCTTCCCTTCCCTTCCCTTCCTCCCTTCCCTTCCCTTCCCTTCCCTTCCCTTCCCTCCCCTCCCCTCCCCCCCTCCCTCCCCTCCCTCCTCCCCTCCCCTTCCCTTCCCTCCCTTCCCTGCCCTGCCCTTCCCTTCCCTGCCATTCCCTCCCTGCCTTCCCTGTCCTCCTGCCCTTCCCTGCCCTTCCTTCCTTCTCCTCCTCCCTTCCCTTCCCTTCCCTCCCTTCCTTCCCTTCCCTTCCCTTCCCTTCCCTTCCCTCCCCTCCCTCCCTCCCCCCTCCCTCCCCTCCCTCCCCTCCCCTCCCCTCCCCTCCCCTCCTCCCCTTCCCCTTCCCTGCCCTGCCCTTCCCTGCCCTGCCATTCCCTGCCCTGCCCTTCCCTGTCCTGCCCTGCCCTTCCCTGCCCTTCCCTTCCTTCTCCTCCTTCCCTGCCCTGCCCTGCCCTCCCTGCCCTGCCCTTCCCTGCCCTGCCCTTCCCTGCCCTTCCCTTCCCTTCTCCTCCTTCCCTGCCCTGCCCTTCCCTGCCCTGCCCTGCCCTGCCTTCCCTGCCCTGCCCTTCCCTTCCCTTCCCTTCCCTTCCCTTCCCTGCCCTGCCCTTCCCTGTCCTTCCCTTCCCTGTCCTTCCCTTCCCTTCCCTTCCCTTCCCTTCTCCTCTCTTCTCTTCCTTTTCCTTCTCTCTCTCCCTGTCTCTCTCTCTCCTTTAGCACTTTGACTGAAAGTAAAGCATATTGGTGGCTTTAACAAACATTTATTACATTCCTGCTTTGTACAACAGCCTGTGGTCGGTAACATATGGTAAGCAAAGATTAATAGAACCATACTATCATTCTCATAGCCTTGCTATCTAGAAGAGGGATATACAAGGCAACTTCAAATAAGTATAATATGAAATTGTATGTAATCCATGCATGAGAGATGAGCAAACCAAGTGCTATGTGAAGTCTTAGGGAGAAATGATTGCTCCTAATTACGGGAACAGGGAAGTCTTTGTGAAAAAGTTAGACCTCAAAAGTGAGGAGACATTAAAATAGTCAGAAATGGGGATGGAAGGGCATTCCAGCTTGGAGAAGAATGAAAGCAAAGGTCCAGGGGCGGGAAAGTGTAGAGGACCTTATTGTTGTCGTTCAGTTTTTCAGTGACGTGCAACTCTTCATGACCCTGTGGACCATACTGTGCGTGGGGTTTTCTTGGCAAAGATACTGGAGTGGTTTGCCATTTCCTTCTTCAGTGGATTAAGGCAAACAGAAGTTAAATGTCTGAGGCTGTATTTGAGCTCAGGTCTTCTTGACTCCAGCACTCTATCCAGCCAGCTGTCTCCTGTAGAGGACCTAGTGAGTACTAAATTCGCATTAGAAATGAGAGGGTGGTGTGAATAGAGATAAGCCAGTCCAGGAAGGGGAAAGAGAAAGCCACAGAGTTCAACCATAGGAAATGATTGGAGTGCCATGTGGCTTTAGAGAAGCTGCCTACCTTCTCATCTTGTCTCCTCCCCTCCCCCTCTCACCACAACTCCCTCATCA